AAATACCTCCATGGGCATTTTGGACAGGAACAAATGTATGCTATTAAAATGTCATGGACCCTGTTGTGGGAGAGGATGATGTGTTTTTTGAGGTCACAGTCATTTATTGGCTATACCTGCCATACATTTATACCAAATCACCTGGAATCTATGGATATACTTCATCAAACTCTTCAAAGGAAATTTCATAAATTTATCCTTCCCCACATGAAGAAAGGATGCTTTATTTGCTTGTCTAAAAGTATTATACCTCATCTTTCAAATAGTAACTCCTTTCCACAGAGTGTAAGGAAGCAGTAAATTCAGTTGATTGCATGTATGTCACTCATGCTCTTGAAAGTTTCACTTCTGAATTTTTATTTGGTATTTTGCCCAGATTGTTAATTAATTGATGGTGTCTTTACATGACAATTTTCCTAAATCATTTTCTCTTTTACATTAGGTATTTCTTAAGGGATGATATCCAAGATAGGATAATGTTCAGGGTATATTAATCTACATGTATAAAAGCCTAAGCGACCGTTGCAACCGAAACAACTGAACAGACAACCAAACAGGCTGCGTGGGGCAACCAGGCCAGCAGGGGGGTTAGTGAGGGCGGACCAAATGACTGAGCAGCAGGCTGCTTGGGGCGACCAGGCTGGCAGGGGGTTAGTGAGAGCTGACCAAATGATTGAGCAGCAGGCTGCGTGGGGTGACCAGGCAGTCAGGGGGGTTAGTGAGGGACGGCCAAATGACTGAGCAGCAGGCTGCGTGGGGTGACCAGGCTGGCAGAGGGGGCAGTGAGGGGCAACCAGCCTAGCAAGGGGGCAGTTGGGGGCAACTAGGCCAGCAGGGGGGGGGCAGTAAGAGGTGGCCAGGCTGGCGGGGAGGCAGTTGGGGGTGACCAGTACAGCAGGGGGGCAGTTAGGGGCGATCAGGCAGGCAGGCAAGTGAGCAGTTAGGATCCAGTGGTCCCGGATTGTGAGAGGGATGTCCGACTGCCAGTTTAGGTCCGATCCCCAAGGGGTCCCGTATTGGAGAGGGTGCAGTCTGGGCTTAGAGGCCCCCCACTACAGTGCACGAATTTTGTTCACCAGGCCTCTAGTGATACCATAATCTCAATATTATGTTTCTTTTTGTTGATAATGGCTTTTTTTTTTACAGTGTCCAGGATTCTGCTAGTCTTTCTGGTTACAGTTAATGGAACCCTCACTAATTAATGACACAGCAGGCTTTCTCACACCTAACCAAATTAACTCTTTTTCTTGTATTCACCATCTCAATTGGTGTCACTGTGATCCACCAGTCACTCAGCTAGAAACCTGTCCTTTAGTCTAGACTGTCTTCTCTTACTCCCAACTGTTATGTCTAATTAATCATGGCATCCTTCCAATTTTATTTTCTACATATGTAGGGTGTCCCAAAAAATGAATACACAGACTTTGAATAATTATAAAGGCAGTGTTTATTAAAATGCATTTCATTTTCAAAATTGAGCTATTAGCTGTAAAGTGTGTATACATGTTTTAGGGACATCCTGTAGTTTGATTCATACCTTTGGGTCTCATCTAGCTGTAGTTCCTTTTAAAGAGTCAGTCTCAGTGCCATCTCCTCTGGGTTAGGTGTCTCTCCTGGTCCTTACTCTGCCTGCTTCTATCATTTATCCTTCTGTGATCCCCCTTACCCCTTGGTGAACTCCTTGAAGGAAGGAACTGGGTGGGACTTATTTACTATTTATTCTTTAGTCCCTGACTTAGTGCCTGGTATATATAAGGTGTTGAATAATTGATTGTTGACTGCATGATTGAATGAATAACACTTCCTTCAGCTCTCTCAATGCCTGTTTTATATGCCATACACAGACAGAATAATTATCCAATTATCCAAAGGTAATTATGTTAAACATATCATCATTTCGCTTCAAAGTACTTCATGGAATTCTAGTGTTTGTTTTGTTTATGTTTTAGTGTTTTGTTGTTGTTGTTTTTTGGTTTTGTGTGTGTATATATGGGTGTATATGTGTGTTTTAAAGAGGGATAATAATTTTCAAAAATTTGTCTTTAAGTGTGACTTTCTATCACTTTGTTTTAAATATCTAAGTAATTAAGCACATTTCCCTCATTGTCAATCAAACCTGGATTTATATTCAATTTTCCTACTTGGGCCATGCTTAACTACTCCTTGCTGAGTTAGTTTTACCTCAAAGCAGTTATAATATGAACCTTATGCAGTTGCTTTATGTATGCATGTATATGTAGAAAATACTAGATGAGATATAGTAGAAAGATATAACGTGAGCCAAGAAATGAAGGTATGACTCTCTGAGGATGTGACACTTAGCTGTCCCCTTTGATGCTTTGCCCCATATCCCTCTGACTGCTGAGTTCACCTAAAACTGTGGGTACAGTTTCTAACCTACCAGTAACTTTCCAGCTCAAGTGTTGTATCTCTTCTTCTGGCTGAGAGTACAAATAAACTTAGTCTGGGGAGGATGGGGAGTTTAAACACCCCCAGGAGCAACCTTCAATCGATAGGGAATGGGTGATGATGGACAGTGTCCCCATCCTAACCGCCAATGAAATGATTCTAAGGCATGTTTTCCCTACTGTCTCTCAGAGTCTCTAAGGGGAGACCTGGCTGTAGTAGTAGCACACCCAATAATGTACCATTACTGGTTTCTCTTATCTCATGTTTCCCACTTTCTTTAGAAAATGCTTCCAAACAATGATCTGCCCCCAAGTCCTTCTGTCAGGGTTGGTACTTGGGGTAACCAAAGCTTAAAGAATATGGAGGCCATGATTGACTGAGAGATCATAATAGTCAGAAGAGACATCATGTAAGAGTACCAGAGCCAAGAGTTAAGGGTGGAAATATCAAGGAACTAAAAGATGTTCTAGATGCCTGGCTGGAGCAACGAAGGGAAAATTGTGAGGTAGCGGGGCCCAATTAGTGGTGGGCTTTAGAACCATTGTCACTACTTTGTCATTATTGCAGGGACAGTGGGATTCTAGACTGAAAGATATGAAGTAGGGGAGTGATATACTAGATATTGTGGAGGATGAATTGTAGGAGAATTAGTCAAGACACCTGTGATGAAGTTGCTACAATAATAGTGACCAGCACTTGGGGAAGGAGTCAGTAGTATCTGGAGAGAAATGGGCGGATTTCACAACTATTGAGAAGCTAGCATCTTTCTAAATTGTCATTGCTATTTCTTATCAGTGTGAAGCAGTCATGGTGATAACTAAGTGAACTGACCATTAAACGGGAGCATTTCAGTCATTGATGTTGCTCTTCAAATTTTCTTTGAGAACTTATTTGCTTTTTTAAAAAAGTCTTTACCTTATGGATTTGTATATCTCAACCTTGTTCTAAAAGTATTGAAATATTTGTGGTGGTGGAGAAACTCATGTCACATTTCTCTGGTTCATCTTTGGTAGTAATTGGTAGAGATTATTACTGATTATATGTTTAAACCAAACTCTTGTTGTGGAAGTGAGAAGGACAAAGGGCTGTAATGTTACTAATTTGCTCAGGATCAATGAAATACATTAGAATGATGGAAAACAAGATACTGTAGCAAGTGCCTTTATGAAGTTATTGCTGACATCTTCTTTGAGATATATGAGTTTGCTATTGAAGCTTTTATTTTAGAGTTATTAGTAACCACTCATTTCAGTTACTGCAGTGAAAATGAATTTTTTGTTACGTTAGTCAGCAAAAAATAAAAATGATGATAAACCCGTTCTGAAGATGCAGCTTTCATTAAAAAGGAAAGAAAACCTCATTGAAAGTCACTGTAAATTTTGAATGATTAATTTCATGCCAAATAAGTTATTAAAAATCTCTGATGGATATAAAAAAGCAATCATTTGCAAAATTGGAAAGAGCTAAATTAAATCTAGATATACTTCTCTATTTTTTTTAATTTGTGCATTGGGAGAGATAATATGGAAACTGTTGAATTTTAACACAATAGCCTTTTGCTATAGATAGTTTTTAATGCTATTAGGCTCTAAACCAATAATTAATTTCCCTCTGGATTTTTTTATAACAGTGGATAATTTTTGTTCTAATTTACTGTTTTTCTTGTGTGTGTTTTTCTAATAATACATCTAGTTCATATTATTTCAAGCATTCAAATAATATAGGGTTTTTTGTTTCTTTGTTTTGCTGTGTTGTATTTTGTTTTTGTTATTATATATGATATATTATATGTATTTATAATATATAAAGTATGTAATATATAAATAAAATATATAATATCAAAGTATATATGTATGTATGTATGTTTGTATGTATATATAACTCAAGCTTCAGGCCCCTTTTTAGAAAACAGAGGGGCAAAATATATAAACCTTCTTCCTAAGTCTCCCCAAATTTTCTCTATACAAAGGAAAAGTACTTTTCCAAATAACCAGCATTTTTTATTCTTTGCTTTTAAAAATAGACATAATATGCTGAACCTGGAGAGTTCATTATATCTAAAAAATAAAAATGTGTGCAGGTCTCGGTCTATAGGTGCAGATGCCTTGTTCCATGAGACTGCCTTGCATTGCGAGATGAACAGAAAACAAATTGAATACATAATTATGTCAATGAAAATCTTTTGATTTTTTTTCAATATAACTTGACAGATAAGGAGGACTCTTTTGGAGATGACCCCAGAATAAAATGTTCATCACGATGCCTGAACTGATTTGCAGTGGCCATGTGAAAGGCACTGAGGATGTTAGAGAGAATAGCTTCATTTGGAGTTGAAACCTTGAGGTTCCCTTTGTAAGCAAAGAACAGACCAACAGACTGTAACAGCCCAACTTTATTCTTTTCACACATTTCAAACATGTAATTACCAGGAAAAAAGTCCTTTTTTATCATTTTGAATTCTGGTTTTAAAAGTCAACTACAATAATAGCGGTGTAAAGTAGAAACATCAATTTTTTAAGTGGAAGGCTTTTCATATTGCATTTACTATTATGTGCATTATTGATTTTCTTTTCTGGTGTTGTTCCTTGCAGAGAGTGAATCTGTCTTTCGATTTTCCATTTTATGGCCATTTTCTACGTGAAATCACTGTGGCGACGGGGGGTAAGTGGTTTTCTACCCGTTCACCCTAAATAATCTACAGTCTTACTACCGTTATTATTTTTAATTCACTCCATATTTCAAGAGGGACATTTATTGGGAAAACCATTGTCTTCTATCATGAAGTCATGGGTATAAATAAAACCTAAGAAAGACTAGTATAGTTATTGGAAAAACTTTTCAGCAAGAAAAAAAAAAGTCGTTATAATAACTTCAACTTAGATTCATCACCTTTGCTTTCCACCTGAGCTTGTATGGTGAGACTGCACTAACAGGACTAAAGTAGAAAGAAAAGGTGCTTAAAGAAACGGTTGAGGCATTTTTTTAAATTTTCTTTTAATGTATATAGCTGACATGTATATTAGCTCTATTTGTTTCTTTCCTTTAATGTCACCTGTGTTGAGAGGTTAGTGTGTGTGTGTGTGTGTGTGTGTGTTTAATCCTCGCTGGATATTTTTATTGATTTTAGAGAGAGAGGAAGGGGGAGAGAGAAAGAGAGAAACATCGATGTGAGAGAGAAACATAGATAGGTTGCCTCCCTGACCAGGGATCAAATGCACAACCTAGGTATGTGCCCTGACAGGGAATTGAACAGCCCAACCAATTGAGCACCCAGCCTGGGCGACTGACAGCTCATGTGAGAGCTTTAAAAACAAACACTGACATTCAGTTTGAATTCTTTTAGTTTTATTTTTTTCCACAAACTTTGGAGAATTAGCAATACCCTAGAAAGGCAATTATCATTCTTTATAGTATAACACAGAAGTCAGACATATTTTAATCTTTGAGTATTACTGGCAGAGATAAGCAAAATGCCAAAGAATATCCCTGCAGGCCTAACACGGAGACGTAGAGAAAGTAGAAGACTGAGAGAAAAACATAAAAATGGGAGCATAAGCCAAGAAGCAGTGAAAAGAAATCAGGAGACGTGATGATAAGACTGTAGAGCACCCGTGCCTAAAGCACCACAGGGCAGAGTCCTTCTCTGTCACAGCGTTTCATTATTGCTCTTTTGGATGTGACCCATGTTGCTTACTCTTCCCATATTTTAATATAACGCTTAGGAGATAGATAGGGTTCTGAAAAAGATAAGTAATCAGAAATATTGATGATTAAATAAAAGTTTTTGAGCATCTACTCTGAGCAATGGTAAATATAGCTACTCTGCCTTAGGAATGTACAGCCTAGTGCACTATTAGACAAGTGGAAGCTGACTATGGGGAGTTCCTTAGAAAATACACATGATGAAATAAAGGTTTTCAGGAATGATAAAGCTCAAACATCTGTGAGAATTCTTTAAGACTTAATAAAAAATATTGTTTAAGGTATATATTGAAGGCTATTGCAATTGTTATGGTTGTGCAGGGAAATAGTGGATTCCCAAGAAGATTATCTCGAGTAATATTCAGAAGAGGAAATAGATACGGTATATTTTTTTATTGTAAATAATTGAGTGTGAGTGGAACTGGGGGTATGTTTACAAGAAGTGTAGCATATTAAGATGAAAAAAAGTTGGTTGGGACAGTTTTACATAATGTCTCAAGGGTCAATTTGAATCATTAGTCCTTAATTAGGTAAGTAATCAACTTTAGATAAACATAGACATTTGTGTAGTGCCTTAAAGCAGCGATTTTCAACATTTTTCATCTTATGGCACACATAATTACTAAAATTCTGCAGCACACCAGAAAAATATTAGATATTTTGCCAATCTGACCACAAAATAGGTATAATTTTCATATTTTGATTCATTCACACCAGAAGGCTATTGCTGTGTTGACTATTGTCTTTTTTATTATTATTATTTGACAATTTAAGGGAAAAGAGATCAGTGCCCCTGACTAAATAGACAGGTATTGCATATTTTAAAAATTCTTGTGGCACATCAGTTGAAAATCGCTGCCTTAAAGTATAAAATAATAACAGAGTTAGTACATATAATTGAAAAAACATTGCAGTGATTGTGTGACAAATATTGAGAGTTTTGGTGATTCTGTGAATTCAAACCAAGGGAGAGAAATGATGCCATGAACAAAAAATTGCAAACTCAAGCAGAAGAGCTAGTTTTAGGAGAAAACTAAAGGCTTCAGTTCTAAAACTATTAAATTTTGTGGGAAAAAAAGACTATGTATACATAAAATTTACACAAAGACTGTCTTTTTTAGCTCAATTTCAATTTCTCAAATTGTTTTATTTTCAAAACTCATGAAGGGGATTCAGCCAATATACTATTAACTAAGATTTTCCTTAACTGAGTTGGTAGGAAAAAAACAAACAGATGGCTATATTATCTTTATTGCTCTAAGTCTCATTTTCCTTTGAAAATATTCTCAAAATAAGTAAAAAAATATGGTGTCTTGAATCATCTCTCACTTCGCTGAGGAAAATAACTAATGTAAAGAAACTCTTCTTTCTCTATTTAAAATGTGGTAGCATGGAAGTTGCCTGTATAAATCCATGCCCTCTTTATAGAGGCATAGGCAAGATACTTAAGACATTGAGCTGGGTTTCTTCAGAATGAAACCAGAATCTCTTGCACTTTAATAATTATTCACTCAATCAATATTGATTGAGCTCCTACTATGTGAGAGGCACAGTATATGACACATCAATGTATGCAGTGAAGAATAAATTATGGTTTCTGTTCAGGAGCTTAGAATCTAAGAATAGAAGGGGCACATGACTAATCGATAAGAGAAGGCCTACTTTCAGTGCTGAAGGAGCAGGAGGTTACTCATTCTTTTATTTTTATTTTTTATTGATTTCAGAGAGGAAGGGAGAGGGAGAGTTAGAAACATCAATGAGAGAGAAACATTGATTGGCTGCCTCCTCCATGCCCTCTACTGGGGGTTGAGCCCCAACCCCAGCATTGCCTTGATCAGGAATTGCACTATGGCCTCCTGGTGCATGGGACGATGCTTAACTGACTGAACCACACCAGCTGGGCTGATGGTTGCTCATTCTTTGGACCAATCAAGTACAGGCTTGTGAAAAAGCTAACATTAAATATTGGCCTTATTGGCATTTGAGTAGGTAAAGAGGCAGGTAGAAAAGAGATGGATAGAGAGGGACATTTCAGACAAGGGGATGCTGAGCTCTGTGACAGCACTGAGATCATAATGAGCACATTTGAAGTTCCATCAAGTAAATCTGCATGTTTTGAATGGAGAATTGGAGTAAGAGACTACTGAAGGGGAAGATGGGAAGAGGGGTGTGAAGAACTTGAACGTTAGAAATTTGGGTAATAGCCAGCAAGCACTGGATTTCTGTGAGAAAAGAACAGATCCGGCCTGCTCTGGCAGTGGAGAGCAGGGTAGTGTGTGGGGTGAAGACAAAGAGAACATTAGCACCAGGTTTTTCAGTATTTCTGTATATCAAGTGCCTGAACTGGGATGTGTGCAATGGAGGAGGAAAAGGAACCGGTACAAGACACATCATTTGAGTTGTTTAATCACTGCGGTTGCAAAGATTTCTAGCCAAAAAGATCCAGTGAATAAAAGCTTAGAATACTTAAAAGAGGACTTGTGAACCACAGACTTCTGATGGATCTCTTCTGTGATCGACGAGGTACTATCAGCAGACAGACCTGCCCAATAAAGGCTTATCACCTTACAGATCTTGAAAGTGTTGTTAACTGGGAAAGGCTTGACAGAAAAATAGAAGCCACAGTCAGATTAATATAAAGTTTACTGCAGGCCGTTCCAAATAGATTGTAGACTGAGATTTTTAAGTAGGAACACATAGGTTTCCATGAAACTATAATGAATAGACATATTCTCCACTGTGTCTACAAATTCTTCTTGAGCTGGTTTTAACATTGGCTTTGGGGGAAAGAAAGTAAAAATGTAAAAATGGATATTTTAAACTACAGTTTCCTTCCTTCCTACCTTACTGTTTTCCCTTTTCCCACGCCTCCCTTAAAATATTTCCTCCCCACCCTCTCTCTTTTTCTCTCTCCTTCTCTTACTCTCTGCTCCTTCATGGACACAAATTTATTTAAAAATGAAATGAATTTGAAGATAATGTCTTGTGTTATTGCTAGGATCAATAACATTTCAAAACAGAAAATAGTTTAAAAATACAGATATATACATAATTTACTATGACCCATCTTTTTTTTATTATGAATGAACAAATTTTCAGTTAAATTGTAAATAAAAAGTAAGTACCTGGTCATTTATCTATAAACTACAAAAATGAATCTTTGCTTATTAAGCACTTTAATTTTGTTTCAAAAGCTTTAATCATCCACACAATAATGCACAAAATGAATTAGAAGTACCATCCTATTTTCTGGTTCACTGGTAGCACAATCTGAATGCATTAATTTATCTCTCTATTTAAAAAATACTTTAGAATATAAATATTCCAAGCATTAAAAAAGCTAGTCTGCTATGCATTTTATAAAAGTGTTTTCATTAATGGCATCAATAGTTTGTATTGTTTTCGTATCACATGGCCTTTTCTTTTCCTATACCAATACTTTAATTGTTTCTATTTTATTATTAGGCTGCTAAGGTTACCTTTTAAATGCTTCAAAAAGTAGATTTAAGCTTGAAGATTTGATTTTTAATTCCTGCAACCATCACTAGTAATGATACTTTTCATGAGTCCATCATGGGGACACATAACTATGAGAAAAAAGGGTGGGGTGCAGTGGGTAAAGGCTGCTTTAGATAATGGGGAAGAGAAGAGGTGAAGTCATCCAGATAATTCTGGCACCAAAATTTAAGTATGTAGATGGATGCTGATTCTTCATTAAAATAGCGTGTGGAATTGCAGGCAATTGTACAGGAAATTAGGAATAAAAAATTATATGAATTAAAAAGATAATAATGAACATGTTTTGCTTACATTGATTGTATAAAGGATTTGCCCTCCCTTTCTTCCTACACAAATTCCTAGTTGGAGGTTTAATAAGAAAAGCATTTAGAATTAAATCTATTTTATTTTGCCACATGGTAATTAATAAAATATAAGATATTCATTAAGTAATCAGTTTT